GCGGTGACTCTTTGTTTGACGAGAGTAGACATTTCGTCCTGTCCTCATTCAAGATCAGACCCACACACATTGCTTTCTTATCCAGTCTGGAGAAATCATCACGGTAAAGTTGATGTCAATATCATCGACAAACGTCAGCAGCTGAAAACACTTATAGAAGATTGTATCTTCTCTATTCAGCTCTGTAGCTCGTATTATTTTCTTCAGCAAGAAATGAACGCACGATGGAAAATCATTTGTTTGAAACCTCGTTTGGTATCGAACGGCTCGGAGGGGTCCTTCCCGACTCTGACGGAGCTTTTGGTGTTGTTCACCCAGCCGTACATGTTTTGCGGGGATACAAAACTCAGGCACAGATGCAGCTTCCTTTCGTGCTGTCGCAGGCTACTTTAAAATCAACGAGGAGGTGAAATGTGCCGATCTTTCTTTCATGGGTCTTTTCCAAAATTTGGCGCATGGCGAATATCTGGTCAATGGTTGATTTTTCAGGTTTACGAGCAAGGTGGAGGTCTCAAAAAATCTACAGCCAATGTACGTAATTAAAGTGAAGGGAATTGTTATGAACGATCTTTAGCCAAAAGTTTGAAATTTCGAATAAATAAAGCAGCGGATCGAAGTTGTTCAGGAGTCATTAAATGAAGTGAAGGCCGATATAAAATTTATGTTTACGGATAAAACATCAAAACTAAGCTTTATTTGTTCATCTCTGATACTTTTCTTTTATATAATTGGCGCTTTGTAACCACGTCTGTTATTTTAATTGACAGTTCTTAATTATATTTTTAATTTCGCTTCGCTCCCTTCACTTAATTCTTTATTTTTATATATATGACGACGTTGATAGAGCATAAACCGTTGTTCAATCTCTGTACGGATGAGAATACCGTGCAGCCAAAGCAAATAGTTAAAACCTTCGGCCTTCGGAAGTAGTATGCCAATGAAGCCAACAACAAGACAAATAAACCTTCCAAACTCGGAATTTTCTATAATCAGACAACTCCGATATTTTTCGCAAGTTTTTAAATCACTATTGAATCGCAAGGGATGTAAGGAAGCTTGGTATAAAAATGAGAAAACTTTTCTGCGATATTTGAAAGCCTTTGAAATACTGGAAATGATATGATCTAGAAAAATAATATAATATAATAATATAATAAAAAAATGGAAAATTACGTTACTGCCTAAGTGTTCGCATGTTTTGTCTTGAACACCACGAGGTATGGTTTCATAATTTATGCCGTTATGTGTCAGTTAATTTATTAAATATTCATTTAATCGCATAGGTGATTGAAACTGGCATAACAGTAGTTACCGGCCAGGTTTGTTTCCTGCTGTACTGTTGTACTGCTTCCTTCACTGAGTTCTAGTACTCAACTAAATACATACATACACATATATATGTATATACATATAAAATGTATATTACTTTTAATACATATACCCATCCGTCATTAATAGGTTCGAGGTGCAAAAGAGAATAAGATACGCATTAACTTGCCTAGAACACCTTTGACGTGTTCCATAAAAAAACTATTTTATATATTCCAACTTTCTAAGGAATCGTTTGGATTTTGAAACTTATACGAAATGTATTAAGAAACTCTATTATTCAACTGGTATGTTTTCTAATTGGTGTGTAATGTGATTGCAGGGTAAGTAGAAATATCCTTGTGCATTTACATACATACTCGTACATATGTAAGGATGAATACGATTGCATACATTTCTAAGTGTGCCAATCAAGCATGAATGTCGGAGACAATAGCAGTGCAAAGTGTTCGCCATCGCAGATGTAAACTGAAAATTTAGCACAAAACTTAAATTGTAATCATAAAACTATGCACAAAATTGATTTGATTAAAAGCTGTGCTCCTGCCACGAATACGAAATGAGAAGCCGCACGCTGAAAGGAAGCCAGTCAGCAAGAGTAGCCACTTGAAATTGCGCAGCTCCATTTACTCAAAGTGGCACGCATCAATAACAAAAAGGCAAGAAATAAACAAACAAAACAGTGGCAACACGTTAGAGAACAAAAGAGCCTTTATATTTAGAGCAATTCTCGATGGTCTGTACTAAGCTCACTTACAAGCGTGTGTGCATGTGCCTTTGTATTTATATAATATGTATGTTTTCTACAATTCAAGTTCCTCACAAGGACGGTGGGAAAGTTTTCTCTGAGGAAAATTTTCGATACTGTATTTTGATTGGATTAAGAGCTTTCCTCAAACCTCAAAATGGAGCAAAATGACGAAAGAGTTATGCATACATATGAATGTATTAAATATATTAAATTTAAGCTATTCCACGAGAACAATGAAATAAACTATATTATATTATATAAACCAAAAATAATGATATTCAGAGACGAGTCGATTTCAGCATGCAGCAGTTAGTCTGAGGTAAAAATTCTGCCATTAAGCAGCACCAAAAGCTCCGTCAGTATTTCTGGAGATAATAATACGAGCTGAAGAGCTGAATAGAGAAGGTACAATCTTCTATAAGAGTGTTCGGCTGCGGAGAGTTTTTCTTTTCGGCAGCGAAGGATGTGGGTCTTGTAGTGAACGAGGGTAAGACGAAATATCTCCAGCCATCAAACAAACAGTCGTCGCATTCACGCCTCGGCTCACTTGTTAATGTTGAAAGACATAAATTTGAAGTCATAGATAATTTCGTTTACTTCGGTAGTGGAAAGGTGATAGGTAAAGAAGGTTAAGGTCAGCTTCCTCTAAAGAATTTTTGAAATATCAAATTTTTTTCTGTTAAATTGCTAGAAAATACTCTCAGAAATAATATAGAATTAGTGCCTAAGGAAACCACGATTTTTCAACTGGGTGACACTCTTATTTAAAATCTATTGACTTATCAACATGGACTAAAGCATTTTACTTCTAAAATGTCTTTCTATGGTCGGTACTACACCCAAAAGTATTCACTGTTATTTAAAAAATTTATTATCATTTAAAATTAAAAAAAAAGGATAAAAAAATTAAAAAGTCCGCCATTTTGTATTTTTCTTGAACATTTTTCATATAATAAGAAACCGTTTTGATTTCTGACTTAAGATAATTCGTTTTACAGTTATCCTGTTTCTTGCCAATCAAAGAGACGTGTTTAGGCACCAATTTAAACAAATTTTCAATTGACTTATCTACTAAAACTTGGATTTATAAATATTTTTGTTCAAATAAATAAAATGTGCTTGAAAAAATACGTTTTTTTGAGGAACCTGCTCTTAAAAGCTCTAATTTAGCTTAAGCTAGCATATAATAAAAGCTACTCATGAAACTCCATCGACTTGCGCAGGCTTAAAATAAGCTGTAGGTTCGTCCATTTGTTGATTGGAAATCAAGACCACCACGAATTGGTAATGACGGCAAACCTTTGGAATAGGTTGTACGCATAAAGGGTAAAGACGTTTGCTTCAAATCAATCGCATTTTAAATGATGTTAGAAACTTTTTATAAATTTTTAGTTGTTTGCTAATAACGTCCCCGCTGAAGCGATTTTTCGGCCGAGCTCCTCCTCCAATTTGTGGGTTTGCGTCTTGATGTTTTTCCAACAAATGCAGGGATCTACAGTTTATACAAAGCCGCCTCCGACCGGCTGATGGTTTCTTACGGTGAGCATTTATTTCATGTCAGAATTACACTCGGAGGGGTGGACATTCCCTGCCGTGGCTCGAGCGCAATTAGAAAATATTATTTAATTTTTTATTAATTAATTCTCCATAAATTTTGGATAATTTTGTACTTTGGTGTTATCCATTTCGTGGTATCAAAAGTACTTGGCTGTATTTTGGTATTTGTCATACCAAACAAGCCTTAGCTAAAAGTCAGGCTTTTATGAAAGTGGCTCGATTAACAACCGCACAACGAGCTAAAATTGTTAAAACCTACTACAAAAATTGTGATTCTAACGTTCTTTCCACGTTTCGTACTTTAAGCGAAGATTAGAGAAATTAGAAGAGATTGGATCGGTTACAGATATTGTATGGTCCGAGCATCATGTTTTGTTCGTTCCCCCTCACATATCGTCCCCGAATTTGTATATTTCCCGACGGTGTCGAGTGTTGGGATTTCTTACGGCAATTATGGTGTATTTGTCATTTAGACTTACACCTGCATCCATATAAAGTCCAGTTGGGTGCTTGAGCTACAAGCAGTGGACGGCGATTTTTCGAACAAAATTTTCCTCAACGACGAGGCACATTTCTCAATCAGGGCATATGTAAATAAGCGAGATTCTTTCATGACACTCAAAAGCACTTACAGTCTGATCCGCTTTTTGGTCCGCAGATGTGATTGGATCTTACTTCTTTGAAAACGACTACGGCGAAACTGTCACTGTCAATGAGGAGCATCAGAGTAGAATGAGAACCTACTACTTTTCAGTTTGCAATTGAGGAACACGACTTGGACGATATGTGATTTCAACCATTGGTCTTGGCGTATGCGGATAAACCTTTACCTATTAAGCACTTGAAAATCAACATTCGTCCATTTCTAGTTGAGATACCGTCCAATTTGTGCCATTAAGTGGTAAAAACTACTTCAAACGGATAGAAATTTCCAAAAATTTTTAAAATGTTGTAAAAGTCAAACTTTGTAATAAAAAGAATTTCAAATGGACAAGTGTTTTTATTTAATTTTAATTTCGACACCGCAAAATGTATAACCCTGTATTTGCAAATTCTGTGTCGAATCAAATTATTGAGACTTCGAAGGTATTCCTGCTCTATGTAGTTGGCGTGACATGATGGTCAACATTTCATTTTCTTAAACTTTTTCAAAAGCTTTTTTATTTTGTTTTAAATTTAAATACGCTAACTGTTGAAATTAATTTTTAAACAATTTCTGAAGTGGTTCGTTTAATCGATGAATTTCGGAAACACTTTTAGTTTTTCGCATCTATTAACATAAATATCTTAATCAAATCTTGTATTTTAATTACAAATTCGTAAATATGTATGTGTACAAGAGTAGATATTTTAAAATACTTACACTAAGAGCACAGCAGCCGCTGCTGCTGCTGCAACAACAGCAGCGGTTGCTTGACTGTTCTGGTTGTAGCGACTGGACTGCTGTTGCTGTTACGTAGCTGCTGTTGCTGTGGCAGCTGATGTCAAACTTGTGGCGGTCGCTGGTGGTGACATCGTATCGCTGAGGATGCTCGCTGGCCGCGATGGTTTGGATGGGCTGGGTGGCGTACGACTTAGAGTTGGTTGTTCAGGCGACGGCGGTCGCATGGACGCTGTTAAGTGCGAAAATTGTGATGTTAACAGACCGTTGCTTCCAATCGCAATCGGATATGGGAAATATGTTGGAACAGTGTTTACTAGTGCTGCGGATGAGTAGTAGTTGTAGTACAATTGTCTATCCATCCAATGTAGCGATATAGTCTGATTCACAATTCGCTTTGCTATGAGATACACATAAGTATAAAATTAGAAATCAAGTTATTTATGAAAAAACTGCTAACTTAACAGAAAATAACAATAATGATAATAATCATTTTCGCAACCACATGATAATGAATTAAATTGTGGTTTGTGTCACGTCTATGAACGAGCAAAGGATTCATGAAAGAAGCAATGAATCAGTCTCAGATTAGGAGCATTAAAAAAATATATTATATAAATTATATTCTGGTTGGTAATATATAAAAATTCATAAAGACTGCATTTATGGGACACACCCTATCTCTCTTTCAGTCACACGAAATTCACAAAACAATTATATATTGTATATATGTATTGCACGTATTGGCCAAATAGCCAATAACATATCACGAAAATGGGTTCATTAAACATTTGATAATATAGATTTATATATAGTATTAAAGGCGGCCGCGGTAGCTGAGTAGTTAGCATTGCCATAGTGCCATTCGGAAGGCCCGGGTTCAAATCCTCGAGAGTTCAATAACCAGAAGTTCTAGAAAATTAATTTAAATAAAATTTTCTAATTGCGGTCGGCCCTCGGCAGCGAATGTCAACCACTCCGAGTATATTTCGGACATGAAATAAATGCTCCTCATAAAAAACCAGCAATCATTCGGAGGCGACTTAGTAAACACAGCAGGGTGGACACTCCTTACCGAAGACGGACCGCAATTAGAAAATTTAATTTTAATACCCACGACCTTCCCTGTGGTGGCATATACTACTAACCACTAATTCAAAAATATAAAACTTCATACTTACTTCGTTAGGAGACGTTCCTCATCGGTTCAAGGGGAAAATGTTTATTTTTTCAACTCTTTTTGAGACTAACTGTAGGTAATGCTGGTAGATTCATTTTTTATACTTTATTTTTGAAAAATTCAACGTACATGTGTAACATATTAAATATTATATAGTTCTAGGAATTATTGGGAAGTTGTTGCGTTGTATTGCCTACAATTTGTCCGCAGTAAGAGCAGATAATGGGATGCTTTACTTTTAAAATCAGCCCAAAGTAGCACCTGTTGTCAAGAGTACTCTACGTTGGATTTCATGGCTGATATTATAATAATTTTGGCAAAATTGAAATTATCAACAACTTTAAAATTAGGACTGTCAACAATGGCATGGGAGTCGAGCCGCGGATGCGATGACTGTTTGTGTGATGACAATAGATATTAGGTCTTGCCATCGTTCACTGCCGAAATCATATTCGCCGATTCCATTCGAGAGAAAGCAGAACTCACAGCACGGTTGTTGAGCCCAAGTATGCCAATATACTCCGTGTACGCCACAGCTGGACACTCTCGTATTATTTTCTCCAGCAATATATTAACGAAGCCACCCGATGAGATTGTAAGAAACCTCGTTTGGTATCGAACGACTCGGAGAGGTCTTTGCTGATCCTGATGAAGCTCTTGTTGTTGCTTAATATCATTTTATTCAGCTCTTATTAAAGAAGCCACATGACAATTAATCATCTTGTCTGAAACCTCCCTTGGTTTCAGAGAGATCCCGATCTTGACAGATCTTATTATAAATATAGCAACTTAAGGGTAGCACCTTATCGGCCACACTGATAAGGTCCAATCAGTTTGTTGACACAATACACCCGATAGGACTTTAAATCCGATTTCGAGGAGTCTTATTGCACAATAATTGGCATATACTGTGGGATCGCTCTTTTTGTAGATTGGATAGAGCACTCTTAGGTTAGTCGGACATGTTTCATCCGACCAGATTTCACAAAGAAGCTGACGAATGTACGTCTTCAGCTCTTCATCGCCAGTGAGCCATCGGCTCCAGCCTATCTATCTCATAATCGCAAAGCTCCGAGGTAGACAGCCAGTTTTCTCTATACTGTGACACGTCAGTTCTCATTGAATCCTAATCGAAAGACAATAGTTTCGTTAGTAGATGTACGTAGGAAGCTTAAAATTCCGTGCCACAGTTCCCTTATGGCGAGTTGCTGAGCGTCGAACCTTAACTCAGTTCGTTTACCGGGGTTCATTGGCACATAGAGGCGGGTGTCCTCGGAGTGTACGCACGTCGAGAATACTGGGGATATTTCGTCCGCCTATCATACCACGATCAAAGTAATTTTGAATATTTAGATCTGGTGACGACTAAGTAGCTTGATAAATCTTTTTCATTTTCTTACGTCGGGACGATGATAAATCATCGATATGTTGGAAAATTTCGCTTTGATGCGGATTGTGGTGAGTCGTTCATCCTTCGGGGGAATGCCGATACCCGGGGGCGGAGTATCTCTATCACACGGATCCGACACTAAATTTGTGCTCCTTTATGAAGCCGCTGTAGTAAATTTCCGGCGGCGGTGATGTCAGTCTTTAATTTGACGCGGTCAGTGACCAACTGAGGTGCATGCCCTCAAATCGTAGTCCCCAATTATAATAATGAAAAGATCAATGAAATAAATTACCAAGATTTTATGAAGAATTTTAGTGTAAATTAAATTAAAAGGGGTTTGTGACATTTTCGCTTCTCGTTGTAACGTTGCCCTGTAGGCTTCTCTGACCCTCTTCACAAGGGGTCACATGATTTCGTTTCTAATATTATAAGCAATAGAACTTATTCTGTGAATAATTATAAAATGAAATTTTTGAATATTTGCATAAATACTTTATGTTTAGAGTATTGCTGTCTCTTAAATTTAATATTAGTATTTATAGTATTTTTAATTTAAAAAGATTTCGACATCTGATAGTAAAGAAATGCACCTGCCAGCAGATAGTTTGTGTGGTGGTATGTGCACTAAGTGTTTAAATACTTGACGATTTCACCAACTCTATGATTGCAATTAAAAAGCACCTCGTGAATTTTTTACGCCAACAAAAAGTACTTGTTATCCATTTTTCCTCTTTGTGTGGTGTGTTCTTTTTTACTGCACTTTTTGGGTTTTCTTTTATATTTATTCAATTTTTTTTTTTTTAATTTATTTTAGTATTTTCTGCATTGTCGTTTTTATTTTGATTTTAGTGCACCTTATCGCTCGCACTCTTTCAATTCAATTTTTATGATCGCTGGAAAAACTTGCAATTTTGCTTAATTTTAATGCGTTGCAAACAAAACGCATAAAAACTTGGCATACCCAAGCGTGCGAGTATCGGCAGCAGAGTTGATGCAGTAAAATGTTAAGCCATCGCAACGAAACCTAAGGCGAAACCGAATTGCAACAACGGGCGATGGTGGAGCTGAAATTGAAGCTGAAGCCAAACCTCTTGACTCTTGGCAAATAAAAAGTCGTAAAATTTGAAATTGCGATGTTTTGAAGTTTTCTTCCTACCTCATCTGTGGCTGTAACGGGAAACTGGGTACCATAGATATCTGCACAAGGCCCGAGCTGTGCGTCACACTAAAGGAATACGTCTTACAATCAGGATGAAATGGTTGGAAAAGTACTCCCCTTGATTGTTACCGAAAAGTGCACATATTGACGCGTCGGTAGCTTAACCAATACCACTTGCTTGTTGACCAAACAAAATAAAAAATAGAGACGAAAACTGCTGAGAAAAAAGTTTTAGCCCGCCAGTGACACGATATCATAAATGGTCACATGATTTCATGCTAATTGCAAAATGCATCGCATAAGGAAAAAACTTAAAGTTCATCCAATGTATACAAATGTTGAATGTTTTTATTTTATTGTGTGCCATTAATACCGCATATTTGGTACATATGTGCATACATATATCCTTGAACATGCATTCTACATACAAATACGTATACACATACACATAATACACGTATGTGGATAAATCGATTGCGATTTCCTCGCATTATGTGTTGTGGAATTGGTATATATATATACATATGCACCATACATTTAAGTAAAATGTTTGGGTGTCGCTGTTTACTAACCTGCAGCGACTTCCTTATTTTTTTGTTGACCCATGTCCTTTACGATATCGAAGCATTTGCAGGCAACTGAATTGAATTTCACACTCGACTAGAAGTCATTTATTTATTTCCTTTTATTGAACATGTTTTTATCGCGAATATAACACACTTAAGCGAATGGGTAGCCATGTTAGCTCTGTCATGCATCGGCTAAGTGTGATGCTGTATGAATGAATTCTCACTAGCACTGGCATATTGCAACTACAAGTTTGATGTGACAAATTTTGTAGTCGCAATTTGCTTTGATTGTAAGTTTTTCTTAATCACAAAATAATTAAAAAGTTCACATCCTTGGGGCAGGTCCAAGATAGAAATATCTATAAAGTATAAACACTCACTTAATTGCTTCCTGACTTGCCAGTATTTTAAGACATTCTTCCAATACGAGTTTAATTAATGAATAAAAAATGGGCTTTAAGCGCGTTGCGGTTAACATACAGAACTATTGCAGAACTTTTCATAATTGTTCATCAAAAAGCCTTCCTAAGCACTTGCAAAGCTCACTACAGTGACAATATAAAACTGCATTTTTCAATGGTTACGTAATTCAAGATTTTTTAATTAGTTACTGTTTTCCTTTTTGTTTTTTTCTTGAGCCGATAGTAAAAGAGAAATGATCTCAGCAGGAAAACAATTTGCAAGTTACAAGCCTGCCAAAACACCGCCCTCAGAATCGGGACAGAAAAACTTCTGATGTCGCCAAAGCATCACTTGCACGGCGATGCCTCCTATTGGTTGTAAGCGTCTTGATGTTTTTCCAACAGTTTATTCTAAGGCACCACCGAATATCAGATATTAATGTATTCTTTAAAGAAAATTTCTATAATTTTTGATCTAATATGATTTTTTTTCTGCAAGAATTACATTTTAAGTTTAAATACAAAAATATCTAACATCCTTAAGACACTGATTTCAAGGTTGCATCAATATACATGTCTAATGTGCACGCATAATATAAAATATAAATGTTGCTGTATATACATATGTATGTCATATGTGCACATACATACATTTGTGTGATTGCAAGTACGTATGCCGAAGATAAATGAGCAGTAAAAAC